CAGAACAGGCGCAGCATCTGCTCTCTCTACTCTAACTACAAGTGCCGAAATCAGCCCGAAAAACACTGAAGTGTGTTTGTCTACATTCGGCAGAATGAAAAAATGCAATAAGTTCGAATTAAGCTGCCTCTGTGAACCATAATCACTAAAAGCGAGAGGACTCCAGTCGCCCAAATTTGAGAAGGCATTAAGCCCCCAGTGTTCTGGAGATAAAAGATTAAATGATAATTAATTCCACCAAAATTCGTTTGTGAGGCGAACGCCTCCAGATACGTCTGTTCAATGATGATGTTGCTGTCATGGATTCGAGCTCCACCAGAGCCGTCAAAATTCTCGCGATCGTATCAAATGAAGTACGCACATCTGATTGATTGTCACCTTAGGAGCAGTCAGACTGCTGTATCAGAACTGGTGAATTTCATATGCCACAGTAGGTTGGGCGGGTGACTGGACCCAAATGAGATGAGACTCATGGGCATCGTTCAGGGGCTTGTAGTGCAGTTAGGGCGTTTGGTGTTTTTCAGCCTTGCAGGTGCTGTCGTGGGGTTCGAATGCAACTGAGGCCACCAGCTTTTTCTCCCAACCGCTTCCGATTGATTATGTAAATCTGCCCAAAATACCTTTTAATGAAGCCAGCAAAAAGATGGACAATGCAAGCCTGGAAAGGAACAATGAAGGTTACCTCCAAGACCCTAGTGACGTCTGAAAGGCTTCTGGAAGACACATTCATAGATGAGCACGCCGGTTTCTTTTAAAGGTCTGGTTTAGAAGACCGCTGGTGCAGACTGTGAAACAAAGGCAGGGATGCAGATTTGAAGCCAAGCAATTACCGTTACATAATAATGGCCACAGAACAGCTAAAACCCGACTGAGTCTGGTGGATAGGTCTAACTCAGTACACGAACGAAAACACATCAAACTGCCCAATCCCTGAGAGATGGTAAGAGCAATCGAGCTCAACGAACAAGTTACTCTGTGCTGGTCCAAGCTGCAAGTAGACAGCGCCATCTGGGCAAGCATACAGAGAAACCCCAAAATGTTTGCGCGTTCTTCGAACTTCCAGCCTAAAATATAACCTAAGGGCGGAAGGACGGAGGGGAGGAAGCTGTTCAACCGTCTTGGGTGGACGACGGAATTAAAAGTGAGTATGCCGACTGTCTCCCAAACGTCAATAATTTTATGTGGGTATTCTGGCCGAAGTATAAATGAGACACTAACAGCTTCTTGGTGAACTCAGAGGGATCTAGATCAGGCCAGCCTATCTGCCTCATTTTGTCGTCGATCCTGTTTAATTCAGTTGACCCAAATGGAGAAAATTGGCGGCCCCGGTGGGAGTGGAACCCACACAACAGGAAAGGCTTTTGCGCAGCCAACGCTCTACCATTGAGCTACGAGGCTCACCGTTAGCCATGAATTTAATCACACTTGGATCGATTTTACCTGTCCTGGATCTTTATTAAACAATCGATATTATAGATTATGACAGAAGTGGGTAGTAAGTAAGATCAATCCAGCACAATTATTTCTTAGCATAATTCAACTTGTCCCTAAATAATTTCTGCGGGCTTGTAGTAACGCACTTCGGCGGAGTTCAAAATTTCCTGTTCGGGCGAGGCCATTGCAGCACCACTACGGCTAACGAGCAGCAGCACCTGAAAGCGAGCACTGAGCGTCTCGTGATGGCCAAGTTCTGTCGCCTCCGCCAATATTGGCGCTGACTTGAGCGGCTCTTAAGAGAATTTCCTGTTAGTCACCTGGACACCTCCGCCCACCTTTGCTACAAGGCTGACTGTGCGCTCTCGTGAAAGAAACGAAAAAAACGCTGCCCGCTGACTTAAATCCCTAGCCGCCTATCTGGGAACTCCTCCTTTAGTAACGAAGGAGACTGAATCAGTGACCGAGCGACAGGTAACGAAAGCCAAACGGGCTCGTCTCAATCTCACGACTTGCGAGCCGACATGCAAAAACAACAGTGCCGGCTTCCTCTTGGGAATAACCAGAATTTAGAAAAGATAAATTGGCGAGCATACGGTTACTTGCGATGACTTCTCATCAGGCCTATACATCTACATCGTTATTAACTAAGTAAAATGTCCCCCCGACCCTGGAAACCACACCAATCCTTCTATACCAACCTACACAGTTTACTTAGATAACGGTATAAAGATACAGGCCTGAAGAGAATTTGTCGGAAGCAATCATATGCTTGTCCATTAATCTTTTAAATTTTTCAATGGGAATTTTCGTGTATTTAAAATAACCAGAATTACGAGTTTTCGGGATGGATGAGGGTAAAACACTTGAGTCTGTATTGCATGAGACTTGATTCTCGTATTGGAGATAAGCTGGGCTGGTCAGCATATAGTGTGCACCAGTTCCTATGGTGTTATCGAGGTTGACTAAAGTTTCCAGCCCCAGTTGATGTTCCGCAGGGAGCAACCTTTGCAAACCATATCAGGACAATGCGGGGCCAGAGTAAAACACTAAGCAGTGGGGATATGACACCGAAAATCACCAAAATCATCCGCATTTGGTGTTCTCTCCATCCATCAGGGACCATAAAGTTAGACTCAGCGTCGCTGCCTGGAACACCAGCCCACGTGCTTTTATTCCAACTCACAACCACCTTTACTTTCAGCCTCATCAGCGCGCTAGGACGGTCGGCGACAAGGACACACAATGCTTCCGCTACTTTCAGGGGAGGGGCCCAGCTGAAGAGAACAAATATAGTCAGAGCGAAAAAAGCAAACAAATGGTCACGCCATCACCAAGGGGCACCTCCGTCGTTATTATAGGTGTGAATGTTGTGACGGTTGGGAGGCACAACCCGGGGTGGATATTTATGGTTAGTTTCACTTCTGTCTCTCTGCCCTATAGTTAGCGGTCGCCGCGGCCGCCACGGTTGGCTTCCAGTACACGCAGTCACACGCAGCGGTCTTGCAAGACGGAGTAGTCTGTGTACAGAAAGAAATAAAAAAAACATAGCTTT